ATTTACTAATTTCATTTATATTCACTTATTATTTTTTGTTGTCTTTGTGTTTTTAAAAATCAAGTCACAAGTTCAGCTTTGATGAGTTAATTTTTTATTGTCTGACGAGGAAACACTACTTATTTCATTCAGCCCCCACTAACTTAGAAGGCAATGATGATGTGTTAGTGATGTCAGAAAGTTTGACAAGATTTAGAAGAATCAATGATACAGTTTGAAAGCTGTCAAGTCAGTTTAGCATCCCAAAAGCTGTTATCATTAAGATTATAGCACCTGATATGGTGCAACCTGATTTATCCAACCGGAGTAGCTAGACTAAATGAACGCTCTCCCATGGACATAAACTTTGTTTTTTTTACAATAACTTTACACCTTCGCTACTGGGCGTATTCACTCCCTCAGTCGTCTTCAATCTCACCCAAACCAGCAACTCTTCTTGGTTGATTGTTCTAATTTGCATCTATGTCAACATTTTCCCCTACGATTCCCTAACGTACAAACGATCGTCAATGTAGCATGGACTTGAACCGGCATGGTACAATGTGCCTTGGCATTGGAAAGGAGAGAGCATACTTTTCGTTCTCGGATAGTATACTCTTGCTATGCCACATTCTTTGGATACAATTGAAACTGCGCTGTATGCGAGGTTCTTGCGCAGTAACCCAGGGCTCATCTTCCAAAACATCTACTCATCGTGAGGAGGATTCATTAAACGACTTTAGGGGCGTCTCAAGAATGCTCTTTGGTCGAGTCACGCATCAAATGTATATATATATATATGTGTGTGTGTGTGTGTGTGGTGAGTAAAGCTACTTGCTCCCATGCGCTATTTCTTCACGAGAGGATTCTCTCAAGAGGATTCTTGTCACAGAAAAGAGTTTCTAAGCAAATACTCTTCAGTGGCCAAATTTCACAATATCCAATCGCTGTGAAAATATCCATGTGTTCTGATATCTAAGTCTATACAACTGAAAAGGCTTACATATCTCAGAGAGTAAAACAAGAGAATAACCTTGTGAGATTTGGGAACTTCATGAACTCCCCACAGCGTACCCAAAATAGCCGCTGAAGACCCGCTGATTACTGCGCGAAAGGCAACCAGCAATCAACTCAGTCAAGTTCAACAAAGAAAACATTGTTTTCTCCCCTTTTATTTCCCTTCATCGTAATTGAACAGTGTGGCGACGCAATTCTGGACTATTACACGACGCCGCTTCACATTGTATAATGCCAGGAGTCAGCGAGGTCGAAGTTGCGGATTAACCAGGTGGCTAGGAGGTGCTAATTTTGTTGTGGGCACACTAAAAACGTGGCCACCATCCTCAAAAATAGGATCTTCTTTTGGTGCCATGTTTTCCGAATGTCATTGATGCTGAACAGAGCAGGTTGCGGATGGCCATTCATAATCCTAGCCTTGGCGCCACGTGATTTACCGACGTATCATCGCTTCCGGTGGGATGGTTGATTCTTGGAGGAAGCAGCTAGCTAATTCTATATGCACTAATCACGTGCGGCGGAGATGGCTCTTTGCAGGATAGAACCAAGACACTGTCCTCTAGTCTTTCTTACAACTACATCAGCGTGGGGAGTCTCTACCTGGCTTTATAAGTTCCCAACTCTGGAAACTAGCTGATCAACATTTCACATTTTTCATTGGCCACTGACCATACAGATCAAATCTTTGATATTTTCACTTTTCTTCTTCAATCATAATTGTCCACTGGCATCAGTAACAATTCATCAAAGGCATAATTTAAAATATCATTCATGATTATTTTTGATATCAGAGACAATATAATTTTTCTTGTATCTCTACCACATTTTACATCTAATACTATGTTTTAGAAACTTCTCAAAAGCATAATTATATTTCAAATACATTAAAATTACTTTGAGAATAAAGTACTATAATTATTTATTAAAAATCTAAAGATTAGAATTTAAATAAATAATTATATCTTGTGAATAGATAGAAAATCATGATTGATAAAGTAATTGTATGAACTGATATGAGAAATTTCTTTTCTTGATGAGTGAAAATATTTTTTATTTTGAATTGTCTTTGAAATTATGATATTATAGATTTGAAATATGATTTTTTCTAAAGTTGAAGAGTGTTTTAGAAAAAGATCTCTCTTAAGTTTAAAAAGTATTTTAAGAAATAAAAATATATTAAGACTATAAAAATATCTAAAAATCATAGTATTTCGCATGAGAAGTATGATTTCTCTCAAGTTTAAAAAGTATTTTAAAAACTATAAATACCTCTTTTGAACTATAAAATATTTTAAGAAATATAATATTAATATTAAAATATAATCTTTTTTAAGTTTAAAAAAAATTCTAAGAATTAAAAATATCTTGATATTAAAATAATCTCAAGAATTATAATATTTAATTTAAAATATTATTTTTTTTAAATTTAAAATTTTTTTTAAGAATTAAATATATCTTGAAAATTATAAGTATAATAATTTCTAAAATTATAATAGTTCAATTCTAAGAGCTTTATCAATATCATAATCATATTTAGTAGAAGAAAAATATTATAAGAAAATAAATAATCTTGTAGATATATAATTTTTAGTTTAAAGAATGAAAAATAATACTTCAGATAAATGACTATAGCATTTAAGAAAAAATACTCTAAAAATAATAAATAATTATCAAATAATTGATCTGAATTTTATCAAAAAAGTTAAAAGTGAGTGAATTTGAATTACTGTTATTTACAATCTTTCTTAGCATATGTACTATTAACATTTCTATAAAAATTTATAAATGTGGTGATAGAGTCACAGAAGATGTCAAATTTACTTCTTGCTCTGATCATGATACTCTTTCCTGTTCTGATTATAAGAAGAATACTTTGAATTCAAACAGAATAAAAGAAAAATATAGAAAATATAACTGTATTAATTTCTAGATAAGAAATATCATAATTTGCCTTCAGCTATATTAGTTAACTAAAGGTATATTTTTAATAATAAAGGTATATTTTATAAATTTTTACAACTTCAGAGAAATTATAAATGAATAATAGATGATGTTTTAATTTCTGCTGTGTTATTTCAAATAGCAATTAGAACTCAAATACTCTTATGCTTCTCAGCTTATAATAAAATTTCTTTGAACATAATGCTCTGATCATGAACAATTATATCTACTTTTTCATACTGTTTCATCCAGCAACATTATATAATATCTTTATCAATTAGATCTCTAATTAGAGAAAACATACTCAAGAAGAAAAGTTTATTCACTTTTTCTTCATAATTCAATTTCTCTTTCAATGATCTGAATGACCCTGTAGACCTATATGACCAGTGACCAGTCATAGTTATATAAAACATTGATTCAAAGCTGAATATATCTTTTGCTTTTGTTAACATCCAAGATTTCTATAAGTTAAAAAAATTAGAATCTGAGAGATGTCCATCTTCTATGACACTGCTAGTTGAGCTTTCAAAATTAGTAAGAAATAGATTAAGAATACCATCAGAATTCCTGTGCAGCAAATAGTTTTCAAAGTGCAGATCAGAGTGAATGATACTTTTCTGGTGGATGTATTGTATATCTTCTGCAACTTGAGAGCATTATTGAAGATGCAAGATTAGACTAATCACACCACTGCAGTGGTCAAAGTATGTTTGCAAATTGCCAGCATTGGCCTCAACAAAAAGTAAGCCTCAAGGGCTTTCAGAGAGGCCAAGGAACCTGAGCATACATTAATGCTGAAACAGGAAATAAAATTCTGAGTATCCATACCTTATTATTCTATGGTGGTCCCCTAAGATCCCAAGAATTTGCATTTTAACATTGAAACTATGTTTGATATGTTTGACCGAATCATGGGATTCTGCGGTTGAAGAATGCCCCCATGAATAGTGAGGCGATTTGAGAACAACCCCAGGTTTGATCTGTGTAATGATGGAGGTTGAGCCATGATCCAGAACTTCTCTGACAAGAGGGTCATAGGCTACCAGTTCCGAGCTTGCAACTTAACTATTTTCTTCAATGTGCAACAGTGAATCTTTCGGTGGAGTTGATTTCACGTGCTAGACGATAAAAGTTTAGCAAAAGGCATACTACAGTTTGGTGTTGTATCTTACTTGCTGTATCTCCTTTTCTATGTTTGTGCACTGCTCAACATCCTTCAACTCCTGGCTCGGCCAACCCATCGAGCCTATATTGGAAAGGACGAACAATGCTCCTTGAAAATGCAGAGATAAAATGCCATGGAGTAGACCACATCGGCCAGCGAAGTGGGTGATGCTGAGACGTTAAAGGCTTTTCGAAGAATCTTGCGTGGCTAGTTAGTTACGGGGAAATTGTAATTCCGACTCCATGACGGGAATGCGAAAACGAGCGCGGTGGCAGCTGCGAAACTCCGAGTCACTTCTCCCGGCAAACTTTTTTTCAAGCATCTTCAACTCTCTCCTCAACTCTCTCCTCCTTTTCTGAAATGCTACCCAAAGTGTCCCTGCTGAATCTGTCATTCATAGTGCTGCATCCCGCGGCGGAAGTTGACTTGGTTCGAAGACTGCGGCAATTAAGGTCCTTGCGTAGCATTGCCGAAATCAAGCCCATTTCGCCTCATACCATATGATTCCTTCCAGGCCACCCGTTCGCAGCGATGGGTATATTGTCAAGAATAATGGTAGGAATTTTACCACCGCGTTGTTCTGCCTATGTAGCTCAGATGTAATAATTGATTGGGTGATTGCCAGGGATCGCAAAGCTTCATCTTTTCAAGGTTATGTGAAGTCTCCGTGGATGCTTTGACAGATGAGTTTATATGGTGCATTGCTTGTCACTGGAAGGGACTATGAGTTCTGCAGGATCTCTACTTGCAACCATCAGTCTCTACCTCATTTTGCCGCTCAGTTTTCCCTTCGTGCGATGACAACGCCTCTGAGGCGACATGTGATCTACTGGCAACGGACTAGTAGCATTGACCCGGGGATGACTCTACCGTCCCTGGCTCCTTTCGGTTCCAGACAGACTCAGCGATTGCTATTGAAATCTTGCTGTGCCTGGCACAGGTGTTGGTATACCCAACAGCGTCAGAACAACTGAAAGTATTCCGTCGTGTAACAGGAATTTGACAAGATAATCCCGGGAGAACGATATCTGAGTGCTTGGACATATTGGAAATCTATGATTTTGCCTGGGGATTTTTAGGTCGAAAAATATTTGCTGATATCCCAGACTTCTCATCTTAGATCCAGAGAGAAGAAGGAACAGATTTCTTTGAGGATGATAATGAGTCTCAAAGCCATAACTGGGACTTTTTCGCAATGTTCACTCTGCAATACTTGAGACCCCCAAATGTCATTGAACTAATTCTACTATGGGCGTGGAATCGGTCCTGGCCATCAAATAGGCCGTACTATCTCCGACAACTTGGCCATTCTGACAGTGGAGAAGGCATTGTTTTGGTAAAAGACGTTGGATTGTCGCCTGATGTATGGTTTTCGATTGCACGCATTGAAGCCGATGCGCTGAAAAGGGTTAGGGACCTTGGTGGCAGTTCTCATAACAACGTTACCAGCACATGGGAGAAATATTGAGAGAAATGGTGGGCCAAGGATGCTCGTGGGGAATGACAGCAGAGACTTGAAGCAAAGCAATGTTCCTCACCTCGAGCTCTAGCGCACCACATGTGCAGTGTAAAATTGCAGACTTTATGATCCACCAAAACACCTGCCAAATCCAAAGGTAACGTCTCACTCTACATGCACTGCATTTTGCCGACACCTCTAGTGGCAAATAAACATGCTTGTGGACCGAAGGCCCTATTGTCGGTGAAATTCACTCGCGATAATTCCCTAGAGTAGCCAACAGAAGAATATCTGGAGAACCTATTTATACGCGGAATCATCAGACAGGTTTTATGACAGAATGACAGGCAATACAACCATTGTAATATATAACTAAATCCCAAAGAACAAGTCGTTGGCCATGCTACTTAGGCTTTTAACGCAGAGCTCAAAACATTGAATATCCATCCCTAATCCACTAAATCCTGTTCTCTATTCCTTGCAGTCATCCTTTGCCGTCGCTGGTAATCATTAGTCAACTAATAGAATTACATGTTAGAGGATTCCCCGGCTACCCGAGGTCACGTGCACCCATGTAATTATTAGTAGCTAGCTAGCTCGCTTAGAGTCCCACAGAACAACAAGGTTGATAACGGTCCTCTAAGAGGTTTTGAGACCCTAAATTAGAGGTCTTTTGCTGCGAACAACGTGCATATGAACAGCTGTGAATGAACAGCTATGAACAACATGAGGAAAAACACAAACAACAATTGGATGACATCAATGGTCAATCTACACTCAGGTGGAACACCAGATTTGACAGAAGAATACATGTCAAAAAGGAGACAAAATTGAGGATCTGAGAATAGAATCCTGGAGAATAGAACTTCAAAGTTTGCAGATTCACTGTCTACATCTATTACAGTTTGTAGAAGTGCCTCTGAAGTATTTGAAATAGACAAGACAATTCTGAAGGAATCAGACAAGTTTAATAACACATATGAAGACCTGGTTGATGAAATATCAGAGAATACAGTTGATCCTAGTGATCAGATGTCAGGAGTTAGTGAAGAAACTCTGATGAGATTAGAAATTGCAAAACTTCAATGAGAAGTTGCAATGATAAAAGTTAGCAAAAAGATACTTATTATCAATATTAGCAGCAATGAAATGAGTGAAGATCTTGTAAATTATATATAGAGAAAAGACAGAACTACTGTCATAATGAAGATCTTATAAATTATATACAAAGAAAAGACAGAACTACTGTCATAATAAAGATCTTGACTGAATTTAGAAATTAAGTGAAGCACATTAAGAAATTTATTATTCTGATTATTTTTATTAATTATTCAATATGAATAAAAGAGATGATACTAACTACTAAATAATTTGAAATCAATGATATTCTCAATAAGAAACAATTTGCTTTGAAGAATGATGTCAGTATGAATATACAATATTTTTAAACTAAAAGAAATATATAACTCTATAATCATATATTGTTTTCAATCTCTTTGCAAGTAAAATCTCATTTTACAATACTCTCAGATCATTAATTATCAGCATATATTCTATAAATAATTATAGAAGAGAACTTCTCAGAGAGATCTGCAGTCTGTCATACTCATTTTATGAAGAATAGATTGCTTGATTGATTATGTAGTGATCACTAGCTATGCGGAAGTTATATACAGTGTGAATTATATAAAAAGGTGAATAGGCCTGACACCCCTACTCACTGATGTAATTATACTCGAGATTATATACAAAAAATAGCTTGTAGCTAGGTATCAATACATAATTTGACTGGAAAACCCATATTGTTGAAAAATCAGTCATTTCCTTCATATAATCATTTCTGCCTGCTTACTGTGTCTTCTAATATCTGCCGCCATAGGGTGTATCTAGTCAAGCGGCTTGGTCAGCCTGTCTGCCGTGTTCTTGGCGGACAGGATGTAATCAATCAAGATCTTGTTCTTGCGGACAAGATTCTGAAGAGTATGGAAGTGGACCTCTATATGCTTAGATCAGCATGGAATAGCCTCACTTTTGACCAGTTCAATCACTGATTTATTATCTGCCTAAATTGTATGCATCAGCTTATTAACTGGTGATTTGATCAGACTGTCATTATCATCAAGATTATTGAGCTGGGACAGCATAAAGCCAGCATCCTTCAGCAATTCCTAGAGGCAGACAAGCTCATAGGCAGTCTCTGAGAATGTGATATATTCAGCCTCAATAGATGATTTTGAAATGCCTGTCTGCTTGCTGCTTTACCAAGCAACAGGACCTTCTGTCATATAAATGATATATTCAATGATGAAGTGAGAACTCAGATCATAGCTCACTCAATCAATATCAGTGAACATCACAGATTATATATCTGCATCTTTTCAGTAAGACACATCTATCAGATGTATCTTGTAGATATCTAAGAATTTGCTTGAATGTCATTCAATTCTTCAAGGTAGAGTAAGAGCTGAATCTCTTTAGAAAGCTAGTGACAAAGCTTATATCAGAGTATATGTTGATAGCAAGATATTACAGAGAGTCAATCCCTGATTGATAGGAACATAATGTAAATTTCACTGCATAAGCAATTGATTCTTCATTATCACTCATGAAATCAACATTCTTCTTCATAGGGGAGGATGTTGAGTGGCAGTCATTCATTGAGAATTCCTCAAGCAGGTTCTTTATGAACAGTGACTGGGATAGTGATAATGATTTGACATCTCAATCAATCTTCATTCTCAAATACTGATTTGATTTATTCACATTCTTGATCTCATAATTAGCAGCAATCTAGGCTTTTATCCATTCAATATCTGATATATTCAGGCTGTATAGGTGAACATTGTCCACAAAGATGATTATATATATCTTGTAGACATCATTTATAAAAAAACAAGTGTCATGAGAACTGATATGGAAGTCTGTTTTCAATAGCATTTTTCACAGCTTCTTATATCATAATAGTGCTGCTTGCTTCAGGTCATATAGTCTCTGCATCAATTCACATACCAGATTACCACATCCCTCATGAAACTTGATGAGTTGATATATATATATATATATTCATTGATGGAAAGCCAGACATTTAAGAATATCATAATCATGTCAATCTGCAGAACATGCCATCCTCAGGATATTGAGATCATCATAAGCACTTAGAAGATGGAGGCTAATATAACTGATGTGAATATCTTTGAATAGTTGACATTCTTTTCTTGATAATTGCTACAGACTACTCAGTGAATCTTATATCATTTGATTCTATCTGTATTATTAATCTTTTTGTCAAACACTCATTGATTATATAGAATCATCATATCTGAGATCCTTTCAACTAGTCACCATGCACCAATCTGCTTGAGGTGATTAATTTTTTTAACATAGATATAGAAGTAATATTTCTAATATATAGACACTTAAGCCTGGGTGAGATTCTTTGAAACTGACAAGTCAGTGATCTCAGAGTCTGCAGAGACATCAGTCAAATTGTCAGTGAAATTTCTCACTGAGGCCTCTCTCACTGAAGTAATATTCTCAGTAAGCATTGAAGAATTCTCTGTCTCAAAAGTAGACCCTGAGAGTACAGTAGTATTCTACATCAAAAATGTTAGAATTCATACAGTAATCTTATAGTCTATCTATTAATTATTTATAGAGTGTAGAAATACCAGTGAGATAGATAGAAACTCTCTGTTCATCATAAAATTGTCTGTTGATAAATTGCATTGAGTGGAGAGGATTGCAACTGCAGTCACACAGGCAGTGGAAGACAGGTTCTTGATACCTTGCTCAGACAGGGTTAGAGAATCCATCAAATGAAGATCTTCTTGAAATATCATATCTTTTGACATGTAAAGACAATCATTAGAAAGATTAACTAATTTATAATTAGTAAAGTTATTATAGCCTGTAAATATAAGCTTCTGCAATCACAAGGCTATCTTCATATTCAGTTTAGATACTATTTTTAAATAAGTCTTGCACTCCTATCAGCAAATCCTATGTGCAGAAGGCAGGGCCCTGAGCTAAGCTTTATATGAGGTAACTGGCTTTAAATTCAGATTCTCTATATTGTTATAGAGCTTGACTGACATTGGTATAAGATTAAGCATTTCAGTCACTGCAATTACCACCTCACTCTACATCTGAGAAAGGGAGAAGGAATCTATTAAGAATGTTTGAGCTTTTTTGATAATTAGACCAATAGAATATTTGAACACACTATTTTACTGTGAAGTATGAGATAAGGTTAGTTCTCATTTAATATCCTCATTCATCATATAGGTGGTTGCAGTGTTTGAATTCAACTCATCACAGTTAGAGTGAATAATTGCAACATCATGATTGAGTAGATTCTTCATAAATTGGTTGAAGATCTGTATATATTTTAGAGTCTTATTATAGCACTCCAATAGGAAGATTCATCACATTCATATGACATCATCAGTGATCATCATCATAAGCTTCTTATCTGCATAAGATGGTGTATCTTCTTCATTATCAAGCATTTTTCTACCTTCAAATAGGTCTATCCAGATCTTAATATCTTTGCAGATAGCATAGTGTAGTAGAGCATTTTTATAACTTGTATATTTATACTTGACTTTAATGCACATGGTGCAGAATGAGAGCTTCTTTAGACTGATGATAGCAATTCTGAAACAGAGCTATCATGATATTTTAATTAGATTCTTCTTATCAATATAACTCAATCATCAGTGTCACTCATCAATCAGTAGCTGCTTCAGCATAATGGTGGGTAGTCAGATTGATGAGAACAAAGTGAAGATATCAGTATTCAGATCCTTCAGGTTAATTAGCTGCTCCACATCATCATGGTTGAAAAGACTCAGTGATGCAGTGTTCAGATCATAATCTGTTGAAATCACCCTAAGTCTTGAGATCATCAAGTATGTCAGTGATTCAAGCTCCAGATCATTCATAATACCCCTGAACATAAAGAGAGTATCAGATAGAATATATATATTATTAGAATTCAAATTCACATAGAAGATGTTGTTTTCTATAGATGCTATTATCTCAAAGTAATTTTCAGCATTCACCTGCAGATCATAGTGAATATAGCTCTGATGCTCTAATAGATCAGTAGATATGAAATTGACAGATAAGTCTGATATCAAATAGACATGGTCAAATTTGATTAATCTTTCTTTGACTGGGATAGAGGCGACCTTAATCCTTTGAACCTTCAAAGTAGCCTTATTGGCCATTTGAATTATAGGACTGCTAATCTCTGTTATTTGAGAAAATCACAATCAATCATCTGCAATATGACATCCAGCCCTGCTATCTCATATGATTAGTAGGTTGATAATTGATTTGGCAGAGTACACAGGCACCTCAATAACCTGCACTAGATTCATCATTTAGAATATCTCAGAGCTGTCATTTGCAGTTGATGAGATCTTTTTATCTTCACTACTCATTTATTATTATATTTCTCTATTCTCACTATGTTGGTGATTCTTCATTCTTCAGAAGTGCTATTTGAACTGACTGTCCAGTAGAGCCTGCTATGATGATGCTCACATTCTAGGCAAATTGAAAGGTCAGAATTTGAATGTTCACTCATTTGATAACCTCTGTGTCCCTTGGATTGGCCCTCACAGGCTAAAATATTTTGGATGTTACTGCTATTATTGGAACCTGCAGCTGTGTTTTCAGCCTGAGCCATGTTGGCTGAAAAATTAGCTGCCTGAGCAGCCTTCTTGACCTCTTTGAGAGGATTCAATCAAGAGTGTATTTCCTCCATGATCAACTGAACATCTAATATGACAGACTTTGATTTGAACTCTTGTACCTCCTCAATTTTCTTTTGCATGTAGTTTCATCATATATCAAGAAGTGCAGAATAGAACATATGAAATACTACATCATTTGACAGTAAAATATCAAGTATTTTCAATTTCATAATAACATCATTGAACTTATTGAAAAATATATATATGTCAGTGACTTGGACATCACTCATTGATGTAAATACCAGGACTGCTTCCCTGTAGAGCTGTGTTCTCAGGATAGAGAACTTCTTCTTAACTATACATCAAAGAGAATAAGCAATCCTATCCTCATTATACTTATTAAAATAGAGCCTAATGCTGGCTACTATTGCATTTGAAATAAATGTGTAAAGCTAGTGATTTTTGATCTCTCAAAAAGGAGCCTATTTACAGTTCTCATCAGCACTTTTGACTTACTTGTCCTCTAATATAACCCAGCATTGAGCATCAATTAGCTTGGCCTTCATATTCACATGCTAGGAGAGGTAATTCAAAGATCTGACCAGAGTGTTCAGCTTAATAGCATACTTAGTATTCTGTTTAAACTGGCTGATCACCTTGCTGACATGGCTATTCAGATCATTGAGATTATATTGCATTCAGAACCTCAAGTTCAGATCTCATGCTAATGATCAACTTACCAGCAGATTTGCAGGCATCATAGCCTTGTCATTCTGAGTGCAGAGCCTCTTCAATTGAAGTTGAAGCTGTAATTCTTTGCTCCTCTCTTTTTGAAGTTCTAAATCAATCTTTTGATGTTCAAGATCTAATCTTTTCAGTTGCAATTCTTTAGAGTCAGTTGCTGATGATGGGCTAGAGGTTGCTGCAGGCATCTCCACTTCATCTTTTAAAGGAGTTGAATTAGCATATTCAACACAATGTAGACAGACTGATCTCACTGTGGTATGGGCTGTAATCAGCTTGGCTTGCTGATCAGGCATTTCAGGAGGTTCAATATTGGAACTCTTGAACAGCCCTAGGGGGGTTAGTGAGCTCAGGGCCCTTTGATCATTTTCAGATTAGTCAGATTGGCTGAATTGACTTGATCATGACCATGAGTGAGTCATCATATATTTCATCATATCATATTAATCTTCTTTATAACAGAGTAATTTTATTCAGTGAGATTCTTACCTATAAGCTTGATTAAGCAGATTGACATGTTCTTGTGTGATCAGTTGCTAAAAAATTAGCAAGTTGCAGATTTTTCTTTTCACCCACTAAGTGAACAGATTGAACACAGAAAAAAAAAAAAAAAAATAATAATGTAAGAGTGCATCAAATCAATCAATTGATATAAAATAAGACAATATTATATTGAATGAAGTGAGCAGTGATTAATATACACTATATTTGGCAAAAATTCTTCAAATTAGTAGTTATTTACGCAAAACAGGTCTCATAACCTGTGAAGGATAGATTGCTTGATTGATTATATAGCAATCACTAGCTACGCGGAAGTTATATACAGTGTGAATTATATAAGAAGGCGGATAGGCCTGACATATTTTTTTTGAAAAACTGATTAACTTGACAGCTAAGATGAAAGACTTAGATAGAGCTTTTATAGAATGTCTGATTATTATTCAGATTGAATATACTTGTTTAAAATATAAAATTGAAAATTTTGTTCTTTTTAACTACTTGTTAACTAATGTCAGTACTGAATGAGCATCATTCATTAAAGATAGAATAAATTATACTAAAAAAGATATCAATACTTGTAATATTGAGACAAATTTTATGAGATTGTGTCAAAATATTCTATTATATTTATCAGCTGCTGAACATATTACTGTCTTGATAAATATAAGAAATTCTGCAAAAAATATTCAAAATTCATAAAAAAAGAATAAAAATAAGAATAAGAATTTAAAAACTAAAGATAAAGACAAAGATAAAAAGTTTAAGCAGAATAGTAATAACATGAAAAAGATATACTATTATTATCAGAAGACAGAGCATCTCAAAACTGATTATTGAATAAAATATCTGAAAAAATATTCTACAGATCATAAAGAAAAAAATAAATATAAAAATAAAAATAAAGACAGCACTACTTCAGTTCATAATGTTATGAAGTAAATATTCTCTGCAAAAAAGATAATTTATTTCAGTGATAAAGTGATGAAGAATATCTAAGTTCTAGACTCTGAATCAGAAGCTCACATCACATCTTTGAAGAATATTATTGAGATTATATCTCAGAGAATAAATATTATGCTGAAGATGATAGATGAATCTATAATATCAATAGCAGATATAGAGAGAATGTGCATTTCAACTGAGAAATTTAGTATTGAACTGAATGACATTTGTTATGTCTCAAAGCTGAAGATCAATTTAATAAGTCTTAGAAAACTTGTACATAAAGATTGTATTTTTAAACATTTAACATAATATAATAATTATTCAATTTTGATAATATTTTCTGACAGAATAACAGACTTCACAGCATATTTGAATGAAAAAAATATCTATATAATGAAGAAAACATCAGCATTAAGAGATTTGATTCATTTTATAATATCAAATAATGATTTTAAATCTGTATGTGTCTTGCAATCAAATGATGATTCTTTAATAAAGCTGTTCAAGAGAAACGTTAAGACTTTAGAATACATAATAACATAGTGATATCAAAAACTAAGTCATTTAAACTCAGTGAATATATCAAGAATAACTGTAGATTCTAGACTAGAAATATAAATAAAAGATCAAAGAACTTTGTCATTCTGCAAAATATATATACAAGAAAAAATAATCTGTTTGTTCTTTATCTCAATGAGCAGAGCTGTCAAATCAGCAATAAGATTTTTTGTAAATCTTACAGAAGAAGAAAAAATATTATATGATAAAGATAACTTACTCACTGAAGAAAATACAAGATACTTATAAGGGGCTGAACCTCTAGATTCGCTCTGGCTAGCTGACTCAGCCTAGCCATCGTTTGCATGTGTGCACATGATCATGCTACGCGAGCTTGCTTAAGCTCGTATTCTCATCTCATTCTTTTCTTCCCTTTCTCAAGCAATTTGTCCTAGTTATATAGGAAGACTAGCCTCTAGTTCTTAGAGCTTAACCCTCTACAATACTGAATGAGAATTACAAATGATGTCATTTGCTTTAGATGAATTATTCTGATTGTCACAAAAGTAGAGATCACATCAGTGCTTATGAACTTTATTGACATGATTAAGACAATATCTCAACAGTCTGTAAAGACTATATATTGAGATGATAACAGAGAGTTCAAAAGTGATGATCTCAAAGTATTTTGCAAGAATAAAAGAATAGTGTATAAAGTGACAACTTCAAATACATCTCAATCAAATGACTCTACAGAATGTGTGAACTGATTAGTGGTGAATAAGACAAGAAGTTTACTATTTGATAGTGAGCTTATCAGAGAACTTTGAGATGAAGCAATACAGGTAGCTGTAATATTAATAAATATATTCTCTATATTAATAAAGATTTTTAACTGCAAAGATAACAGTTTATTGATATCTTTTGAAGTTTAGACAGAGGTTCAATTATCAGCTCATTGAATCCACAGATGAGAATGCAAAATTTATAAAAAAAATTCAACTTTAGCAAATATATCAACTGCTTTGAAGTCAACAATAGATTTGATTCATTATCATTAGTGAAAGACTTCAATAGCAAATTAAATTAAATTATAATAGAGTTTGAGAATGATTTTATTATAGTTAAAATTTCATTATTCTATTTCTAATCTTAATTCTTATTTCTCTTATAAATATCTAGAACATGATTCAAATTAAAAATATAAAAAGTTTAAAACACTTATACTATTATAATGCAGCTGTTTGTATATAAATTAAAATTGATCTATTTTAATTTCTAATTATATCTGCTCTAAAGATTAATTTTCTTCAATTCTTAATTAACCTCTATATATTCAGCTGTTTATTTATTTTATATTTTAATTTTTAGTTTAATATTCTCACCGCAGTTACTTAGTTAAATAGATAAATTGAAGCTATTATTTTATTATCATTCTAATTTCAATTGAGCTATGATAAACATTTTTGAAAGAGAAAAATATAAAATATAATATCATTTATTTTTAAAACTGAGTTTTATATCATAATAGTACTATTATAAATTCTATGAAATAATATCATGATAAAAAATTATATTGATAATTAAACTCATAATAATCTTATTTTTTAAATTTTTATAATTTTATTTTCTAGAAATATTTCGTTAAAATTATTCAGTAAAATAAAATTTATCTGATTTTGATTACTGCAGTGTAGAGGATTAAGCTCTAAGAACTAGAGACTAGTCCTTCTATATAACAAGAATGAATTGCTTGGGAAAGGAAAGAAAAGAATGAGATGAGAACATGAGCTTAAGCAAGCTCACATAGCATAATCATATGCGCATGTGTAAATGATAACTAGGCTGAGTCAGCTAGCCAGAGTGAATTTAAAGATTCAGTCTCTTATAATACTCTTCTTCTCCCTCTTTGTTGCAGGCCTTTACAACTATTTAAAGTTCTTTTTACATCTAATTTTGCCTGCTGAGAGGTCTTCTAAGTGTTCAAAGTCTTCACTTCTTGTAGGAGACTTGCATCATTTCATATAGGCTTAGCTCAACCTATCCATTTAACAAGGTATTGCTTTTTTCTCTGATAGATTTATTCATTTCAAATTTCCTCAATCTCAAACTTAGGTCCTTCTGAGGTCTTTATAGTGAGTAGCTGTCAGTCAGTTTGCCTCTGACTAGGCAGGTGATCTGTTATCACAGCATGTAGAAGCTTTACATTAAAGATATTATGAATGCTGAGTGAGATATTTAGTCAGTAAGTATGAAATTCTATCTTTTCTAGCATAGTATATTGATTGTATTTTGCATTTAGCTTTTTGCACAGGTGATTAGTTCTCATGTTCTCTAAGTTCAATCAAATCTTATCTCTAGATTGAAAGCTTGAAGCTAAGTCTTTTTGTCTATTCACATAGTTCTCTTGAGATTGCTGAGCATCTGTCATTTTTACTTGAGCTCACTTCAACACTTCATGAGCCTTTTTCATATAATCATCTGCAAACTCAATGAGATTATATGTCATTTCAACAGGGGGTGCATCAGCTATATCAATAAAGAAAATATGAAAAAGATATGTTAAAAAGAATGAGCTTACATCTGTTAAGACAGCATCTCTATTATTGATAATCAGCTCTATCAGAGAGAGTCATTCATACCAGTCATTCTGTTAAAAGCTAATGTACTTACATAGATAAGTTTTCAGAGTTTGATTTATTCACTCTGTAGCTCTGTCAGTCTCTGAGTGATAGACTATGGAGAGTTATCTCTTAATGTCTAATTTCTCACACATCTGAGTTCAAAATATGCTTGTGAAAGCTGATTCTCAATCTGACACTACTGTCTTAAAGATGTCATACTGAGGAATAATATTGCAAAGAAACACTATAGTCACTGTCTCTGTATCAGTTTTCTTAACTGCTTTTAATATAATCCTCTTGATCAGTCTATCTGTTATAATTATGATGTTTGTGTATTCTTTAGAGCTTGATAAGTTTACAATAAAGTTCATGAAAAGCTCCTGCCACATGTGTTCAGGAATAAGAAAAGGCTTAAGCAGTCTTTGATGTCAATCTCTTCATGCAGTGTTTGATCTGCAAAGATGACAGTTTCTGATCATTCTTCTCACATCAGCAGCATAGTCTGACCAGTAGAACTCATGTCTTAGAACTTCTGTCATTTGCTCTCACCCAAGATGATCAGTAAGAGGTGAGTTATGAGCCTCATGCACTAATCTGATTCAAAGAGATTTGAAGTCTGACACTCACTTATGACCTCAAAAGAGAAGCTTCTCATTCTTATTTAAAGAGCACTCAGAGACAGAGGCCTTAATGCTGAGTTCAGAAGAAAATCTGAATCTTTTCTCACA